AAAAAAAAAAAATAAGACAAGCAAGTAGCAGGAAAACGTTCCTATTCTTGGTATTGGTAAGAACACAGAAAAATTATTTTCTGGGGATTCTTTAGAAAAAGTTGAAAGTAATCTGAATAACAAGCTTGATGAACAAGGAATGGTTTTGGTTTCCACTTCTTGTAGAAAGTGCAGAAGAGAAATAAATTTTATCTGGAACTTAGCATAGAACCTAGCATTGTGTATTTTGTCTGTGCTGCTTTAATTACAGTTGTGACATGGCAGAAATTCCAACACTTAGTACAAGTTTGGTTCTTCTGGGGTGGAAAGCATTCTGAGGAATATGGCCTGTTACAGCTTCCTCCTGAGGGGCTGTTAGCTGGTGGGAATGGATTTAAGGGGAAGGAAGGAGAATCCACTGTTTTTGTGGAAGAAACACTTGTTGTCTCATTCTGCCGTTGTTATGTGCAGTGAGGACGCTACTAATATTCTACCAGTGAGGCATTATGATACTATATTTCTAAAAACACACATTTGGTGAAAGGAATGGGGCTAGAATCCAGAGGTCCAGGTTGCATCAGGCTCATTACTTTTCCTTCTCTCTCTCTCTCTCTCTGATTACATGATATACCTCAAATACCTGAGTCTGCTCATTTGGATTGAGGGGAATAGGGTTGTGAAAGAAGGCATGAGAGTCCTTCTGTCCTTGCAGTGCTCTCTGAGTTGCTCTTTTGCTGAAAACAAACTAGAAAAATGAAACAGTGGTTTTCAAGATATGGCAAAACAGACTATGCAGCATGGTGATCCCTGGGAGAAAGGAAACTCATGGCGTGGGCCCCGTGATTGCCCCTACTTACTGCCTTGATATAGTTTCCACACTGCAGCCCAGGGAGGGAATGTGGAAATAGAGCCTGCTGTGTCACTGAATGGAGGAAGTAGAAATCAGAGTTTGAAAAGGTCAGGGTGGCTAGAATTCGTGAGGCTCAGTACCAGAGAAGAAGAAACTACAGAGAGAGAGCATGCCTGCACACTTCAGAGATCTGGAGTGGGGTCCCCTTGAGTCTCTGAGTACAGAATTATATATGCATATGGAAAAACTCTGAGCCCAGGAAAGAACTCCCTGAAAAGCAGTAGGTTGCACAATGCCTGGAACTCATGCAGGGCTGGAAATAGTCTGTGTTCCTAAAAGCCAGAGTAGAGAGACTCAGAGCATACAGGGTATTGATTGTGGGGTGGGGGGGCTAAATTAGCACCAGAACAAAGGATGCTATGGACCCACCCTAACAAAGCTTTAAAGGAAGCCTTTAGAACAGTGGTTTTCAACCTTTTTTGTCTCATGGCACACTTGAACCTATAGCTAAACTTCCTTGGCACACTTAAATTATGTTGATCAGAAAAAAAAGTAAAAGAAAGAGTATGCTTACTATGCTTTGAACTTTTTTCAAAATTTTTCAACAATCTTAAAAAATTTTTATGGCACATCGAAGATTCTCTTGTGGCACACCAGTATACCACAGCACACTGAAAATCACTGCTTTAGAGAATCAGACTAATCTAAAAGTAATTTATCTTCATTCCACAACAAAATCCTCTTCTGTTTACAAGAATACAGTAAAATTCAGCACCAAACATTGGAAAAATTCGCAATTTCTAGCACCCATCAAAAATTACCAGGCATACAAAGCAACAGAAAAATAAGATACACAAAAAAAGAAAAGAAAAGAAAAAAGATGGGTGGCGCCTGTGGCTCAAAGGAGTAGGGCACCAGCTCCATATGCTGGAGGTGGTGGGTTCAAACCCAGCCCGAGCCAAAAGAAAAAAAAAAGAAAAGAAAAATACATAAGCTGGGTATAGTGGTGAATACTGTAGTCCCAGTTACTTGGGAGACTGAGGTAAGAGGATCAGTTGAGCCTAGGAGTTTGAGATCAGCTTGGGCAACATAGTGAGATTGTCTTTTTAAAAAAAGAAAAAAAAACAGGAGAAATCAATCAATCAAAACAAACCCAGAAATGAAAGAGATGAAGGGATTAATAGACAAAAACCTGAGCCAGATGCAGTGACTCATACCTGTAACTCTAGCACTCTGGGAGGCTGAGGCAGGAGGCTCTCTTGAGCCCAGGATTTCAAGATTAGCCTGAGCAAAAGTGAGACGCCCACCCCCCCCACTAAAAATAGAAAAAATTAAGGCACTGTGGCTGGTGCCTGTACTCCTAGCTACTCAGGCAGGAGGATCGCTTGAACTTAGGGGTTTGAAGTTGCTGTGAGCTGAGCTGATCCCATGGCACTCTAGCCTGGGCAACAGAATGAGAGACTATCTCACAATAAGAAAAAGCAAGACTCAGCTATTTGCTGTCCATAAGAAGCCATTTTAAATATAAAGATTCCAATAATTTAAAAATAAAATGATGGAATTGAAAGCAGGTCTTAAAGAGCTGTTTGTAAATCCATATTCATAAAAATGTTCTTCACAACAGCCAAAATGTGGGAGCAACCCAAGTGACTCACTATATGATCAGTTAAACAAAATCTGTATATTACACAATGGAATATTATTCAGTCTTGAAGGAAATTCATTCAACAACATGGATGAACCTTGAGGATATTGTACTGATTGAAATAAGCCAACCACAAAAAGACATACTGTCTGATTCCATCAAAATGCCATACTTGGAGTAGTCAAATTCGCAGAAGTAGAAGGTAGAGTGGTGGTGGTTGGGGAAAGGGAAGAATGAGTTGTTTAATGGGTATAGTGTTTCAGTTTTGCAAGATAAAATTATTGAGATGATTGCAAAATGATGTGAATGTACTTGCCCCTACTAAACTGTACACTCAAAATGGTTAAGATGGTAAATGTTATGTTTATATATATATATATATACACACACACACATCACCACAATGTTTTTAAAACATAAAAAGATGGAAAATGATATGCTATGTTAACACTGATCAAAAGAAGTCTGCATAGCTATAATATCAAAGTAGGTTTCAGAACAAGAAATATAACTAGGGATAGAGAGGAACTTTTCATGATGATAAAGTGATATATTCATTAAGAGGACATACTTGTAAATGTTTATACTTCTAATAATGTAGCTTGAATATAAGTGAAGTAAAAACTGAGAGATTTGAAAGGAGAAATAGACACATTCAGAGTCATTGTTGGAGGTTCCAACACTCCTCTCTCAGCAATTGGTAGGACAAAGTTACAGAAAATCAGAAAGGGCTCGGGAGACTTGAACGACACTTAAACCAGGTCAGCCTAATGGACATTTATAAAACACTACTTTCATCAAGGGTAGAATTCTTATTCTTTTCAAGTGCACATGAAGCATTCACCAAATATAGGCCATATTCTGGGTCATAAAATATTTCTCATTAAATTTAAAAAGGGTTGGAATAATTCAGAGCATGTTCTCTGAGCATAGTAGAATTAAATCAACAGACAGATACCCAGAAGGTCTCAAATTTGGAAATTAGACAAAGAACCCATGCATAAAACAAGAAGTCACACGAGGAGTCAAAATATTTTGAACTGAGTGAAAATAATAAATCAAAATTTGTGAGATAAAACTAAAGCGGCACTTTGAAGATTTGCAGCATTAGTTATTTATACTAGGAAAAAAAATAAAGTTCTAAAATTGATGATCTAGGCTTCTATCTGAAGAAACTAGGAAAAGAAGAGCAAATTAAACCCAACGTGAGCAGATAGAAGGAAATAATAAAGTCAGGAGCTATTGAAAACTCAGCCGGCACTCTCCTTGCTCCTCTGTAGGTGGGTGATGTATCTCTCTGCTTTTCACATCTACTCTAGGCCTTCTGTATTTTGCATTTTTTTTTTTTTTACCACTTATGTACAGATTATCCCTTGGTGCTTATGCTTGGAATTTCACTGGACCTCCAAGAATCTGAAGGATGACGTTTTTAATACATTCTAGAAAATTCCTAGTCACAATCTCTTTGAATTTTTTCTTTCTCCATTTTATGTTATCACATCGTGTGCTGTTTCCTGCAGAATTTTTTTTACCTGTCTTTTTTTTTTTTTTTAGACAGAGTCTCACTTTATCATCCTTGGTAGAATGCCATGGCATCCCAGTTCACAGCAACCTCAAACTCTTGGTCTTAAGCCATTCTCTTGCCTCAGCCTCCCAAGTAGCTGGGACTACAGCCGCCCACCACAATGCCTGGCTGTTTGTAGAAACGGGGTTGTCTTTTTGCTCAGGCTGGTCTCAAATCTGTGAGCTCAGGCGATTCACCCACCTCAGCCTCCTGGAGTGTTAGGACTACAGGCGTGAGCCACCAAAGTCTGCCTTACCTGTTTGTCTTTAAAATCACTAATACTTTAGCTTTATCTTGTTTATTTCTTTGATTTCATTTTATCAGTG